CTATCGACCCGTTGACCTGCACACAGGTGGTGGCGTTATGATGAAGGATCCGAACCCAACGTCGAAAAACTGGTCCAAAGTTCATTCTCTCCAAGCATTTCTCCAGAAATTCCCAGTCAACGTGGTCGTATGCTTTTTCGAAGTCAATAACTATAATGGCCGCGTTTGCTTTATTCCGTTGGGCCAGTTCGACCACCTCATTGACTAGTAAGATATTTTTTTGTATATTTCTTTCAGTCATGAACCCTGTCTGCGCCGGGTGTATGACGTCTTCTAGGACAGATGCCATACGATGTGTCAGTGCTTTGGCCACCATCTTATAGACTACTGTGACTAGAGTGATAGATCTATAATTCCTAATGTTCATTTTGTCGTCTTTTTTGTATAACAGCGATAACACCCCCTTACCCACGATTTCTCTCATTTCCCCGACATTCCACACCTCCTGATAATACTCCCATAGGTCCGAGCTCAATTCTGGCCACATGATTTCCCAAAATTCCTTGGGGAATCCGTATATGCCGGGGTTTTTTTCCTCTTTCATTTGGAGGAGTGTTGTCCATATTTCGTTTTTAGACAGGGTTTTCTCCAACTGTTCTCGTTGTTGTGGGGAGAGGTGCCGATCCATTGGTGCTAAAAACTCCTCTAGTTCCCTATCTTTTTTTTCCTTTTGAGAGGGCGGGATCTGGGATGTGTATAGCTGTTTGAAAAAGGTCCTAGTAATTAGTGTGCAGTGTGTTGTGTCAGTAGCTATGATTCTGTCATTGTTTGGGTCAAAAAGGGCTTCCATGACTGTACGTCTAGCTCGTGTTGTGGCCATGGAGAAGAAATGGGTGTCCATGGTAGCTTCCTGAGTAAATTTGATAATTTTTCCCCGAATTCTAATTCCTTGCTATTTATGTAGTGCGTATTGTAAAAGGCGGTCCTTAATATCTTGGATAGTGGTAGTGAGAGATTGTGAATTTGCCTGTTGTTCCAGGATTATTAGTTCCTTGTGTGTAGACATTTCTTGCTGTTGTCGTTGGGCTGTCTTGGCTTTGGAGAGATCCTTGCATTTTTTTGCTAGATAGATTAGTCCATTATTAAACCATGTTAGGTGTGAGTCGAACAGATGCTTTTGTTGACGCCARAAGTTYCATTYGCCACRGATCATCTGTGTGAAGGTTGRATCTTTAAGAAGGGAGGTGTTTARCTTATAAAAGYCARGACCCTGATCTGGCCTTTTCCTCGTTGTCAGTATAATTCCACATGTCTTATGGTCTAGTCCTGGGTGCGGGCTTCGCGGGAGAATCAGTGACCARYGCAATGCTCCTTCTAGGTCGTTAGAGATAAGGATGAGGTCAATCCTAGATTTGGACAAGCGTGCCGGGTCGCTATCCCTTACGCATGTAAACGAACGCGTCTGAGGGTGTAGTCGGCGAAACGAGTCGAAGATGGAAAGTGTTTCACAAAGTTCGGCTATCATTCGTTCGTCTTCCATTGCGGCGAAGGAAGAAGATTCTTGGCCGTTCCATGTGTTTAAGGTCCTGTTGGGGGTAGCATTAAAATCCCCTGCTATGACTAAGGGGATGCCTTCCGGTACTTGTGTGGCCAGCTTCCCCAGAAATTCCCTTCGTTCGCCGACGGTGCTGGGTGAGTAGATACAGAGTATGCATAGTAGCTCCAGTTCCAGCATACCGAAGACCGATACCCATTGTCCCTCTTCCTCATCTACGACCCAGTGAACTGGCTGAAATCTGGAGTCCGTAGGGACCCAGATTGCTACTCCTGTTGAACCTGGTCTGGGTGCGTGGGCCCTGAAGGCTGTGTGAGGCCAAACCATCTTGTGTGCTCTGTTATGCTCCGGGGTGTTTTGTAGGTGAGTTTCCTGGTCGCAGGTTACGTCCGGCCATCGTCTTCCTCCTACTCCTCTAAGCTGGTCCCAGATGGCCTGACGCTTTTCAGGTTCGCTCGACGCAAGACCATTTACATTGATAGATCGCAAATCGAGGTCAGCCGAGTTAACGCATTTCTGCCATGTCGAGTTCTTGCAATATAATGTTTCTAAATCATCCATTGCATTCCTTATTTACAGTGCGTGCCATGGCTTGTTGTCCCATCTGTCCAGGCGTAGAGTTCTCTTTCTCACCATCTTACACAAACACCTACATATATCGTCTTCTAGCCAATACTCGCTGGCTTTGACTTTTGCACATTGGAGATCCAGCAGTGCATTGTGGTTAAACCAATGTAAGTTGGCTGTCTTGTTGGTTTCAAAATGCAGGAAGAGGTTGTTGTTCGCCATTTGATAGTTGCTGGTTCCAAGCAACCGCACCCCCGCTCTTGCGCCCGGGGCGTTGTGTGACGGGATAAAGGTGCGCATTTGGTCGGTAAAAACCTTGTCCCCGTCCTCTCCCTCCTTCAGTGAGAATTCCCACCCTTGTAATGTTAAGCCCCCGTGTTCCCCTATCGGGGAAAGGCCTATCTCCCATTTCCTATCGGTCTTTCTCAGGGGGGCCACCAAAACTCCCTTCTGTTTGGACAGGGGCGTTTTGAATAGACCTCGCTCTACGAGTTGTTTAATCTTGAGTCTTCGGGAGGTCAGTCCTTCGTCCAGTCCTTCCATGCTTTCCGTGCCTCCCGTGCTTTCCTTTCCCTCAGTTAGGGCAGGGTGGGTGTGCCCTTCCTGTGCTAGAGGGTCTTGGCGCGGAGCGGGGGATTCCTTGGTGGGAGGGGGACGGAAGCGGCCCCTTGCTACGGCAAGTATGAGTTGAAAAGCTTCTGCCCATGTCAAATGAGCAGGAGGGTCAGTGGACAACGCATTCCTAAGTGTTGGACTGTTATTGAGGAGGGTGATAAGTTCGACGTAGGAGCAATCCCAGTATTGCTCACCTTCGTGGGGAAATTCGGCCTGCAAGTGTTTAATTATCCAATCCGTCACCACTTGGATTTTTTGGTCCAGGCCCATTTCCTGGGGGGGGGCATCCAGGTCTGCCGGGTTCTTCGGGCCCTCCTCCATCTCTATGTCCGGGGGGGGGGGAGTAACGTCCACCTCCATCGGTTGTGCCCCAAATGCATCTGAGCAAAAATCAAGGGATATTGCAGGCATACTTCCACCCTCCATCTGTTGCTTATCTTGTGTTGATTGTGGGGATTGTTGTTTCGGGGTGGGTGCACTCTGTTCTTTTAATAGCGGCGGTCTGGCCCTTGCCTGCTGCTTCAGTCGCAATCCTTGGTTATGCGGCCCCTTCGTTTGTTGCAGCTGATATTCTTTCGTTTGCGAGGGCCGCGGGTCGTTATTAGCCACCTCTTTCTCACTATTAGTCACTGCTTTCTCGATAGTGGTCACTTCTATCTCACCTGCTTCCCCTTCCCCCCCCCCTTCCGTTAGTGCCACCTTTCCTTTGTGATTTTGGGTTGCCCTTGGATCTCCTTCTGCTTTTTGTTGTCTTCCTTTTGTCCAGGTTTGGAACCTACCACTTGTTTTTCCAAGTTTGGCCTGCCCGATTCGGTGCCCAGAAGGCTAAAGCGGTTTTCTTTTTGGCCTCCACCCCCCTCAATTTCCTTCGTCTCGCTGCGCTCCTGCACTCTCCTCCCCTTTCCCACCTCCACCCATTCTTCGCGAGATCTCGCTTTTATGGGGGTCTGCCCCAGGTGGGATTCCAGGGATTTAGGGGGGGCCCACGCCGTAGGAGGTCGGGAGCCTTGTCGTGTCTCACCCTGTCCTTCCCATGACCATCCAATCACTTCTCCTTCTTTTTGTCCCGGTGCATCAATGTATACCCACTGTTCATACCCCGGTGTGGGGGAACCCGGGGAGGGGCGCCTACCGTCCGCTGAGGCCAGGGGCCACGGCGTCTGTCACTCGCTGCGCCCACCCGAGGTCCTCAGCGACCAGCAGCGGTCGAGGATGGGGGTGTCTCGCCACGCCACCTATTTTTCCTTTCTTTCTTTTTGTGATTTAGCAACTTCACACAACGATGAGTTTCAACAATCGACAGGTAAAGCAGTGAAATTGCACAGTGAAGAGTTTCATGGGTAAACTTGTAAAGCGGCAAGTTCGAACAACATCCAGTTTCGGCAGCCAAATGATAGGGCAACAAGTTCGTACAACAACGAGTTTCGACAGACAACTGATGATCAGCAACCAACAGGGAGCGAGTTCGGGTTTGGCTGTCGCGCACCCAGTTACTTCTTGTAATCTAGCTAGCTCTCTCTCTGCTGTGACTTTGGCCCCCGTCTGGTGAGCTCGATTGATTGCACGGCAAAGGGTCAAGTTTACACAGCGACGAACTTAAGCGGTCATCTGGTGAGCCAAACAAATTACACGATATTAATTCAAGTTCTCTCAGCGACAGACTTTGACTTAGAGAGTCAACAGACGATCCCRACAAATTTCGTGACAATGATAACAAAACTCTAGCACAAACACTCGGGGCTTTATACCCCTTTGCATGCACTGTATGAGTCCTCCCCGGTAGACAGTGAACGAATGAAAACCAGATCTGTCAGTAATGATCTTTAATTTACCGTTGAGCAGGGGCTGTTAGATCAACCAGTACACAGGTAGTAATTGAACCGCCGGTGAACAGAGCGACCTGATCTGCCGATAGGCGGAGAGTAATAGATCTGGCTATGCACAAAAAAAAAAATTGTTCGAGCCTCCAATAGCCAATGGTATGATTGATCTGCCAATCGCGTGAAACAATTTGACCAGCCAACAAGAAGGAAACTAAAAGATGTGGGGGGAGAGTATATTTGGTTATTCAATAAACAGGAACTGCTCGATCAGCCAATGGGCAGTCGGCCCGCCCGTCAACAGAGATCGCTCGATCATTCAACAGGGAGTCCTCCTCTCTCTCTCTTTCTCTCTCTCTCTCTCTCTCTCTCTCTCTCTCTCTCTCTCTCTCTCTCTCTCTCTCTCTCAATCACAGCTCCAGCAAGCGATCTCCCGTGCGGCGGCGGTGGAGAATATAGCTCTGCGCATCTTGCACGGCTGGGTTTTCAAGTCCGGGAACCGCCCAAGGGGGTACCACCTTGCATTCCAGTACTCGTTGGAGTCCGTAGCGACGGACATTGCGCGTGCAATGTGGTACGGCGAGGAGTGGCGCAACGTCGTCAGTGCGCTGATCTGCGCCCACACGATAGATCTTAACATGGACCTTCCACTGTGGTACGCCGGCGCAAATATCGAGGACAGACCTGAGAACGACAACATGGCTGCGTACCAGGAGTCCACCGTCATCAGCGTCGCGCATTCGTTCCGCGCGTCGGTGCAAATGGGCTCTCACATCGACGGCGATTTCATCTCCTACGAGCGTCTATGTCGGGTGGCTGACTGCCTCAGGCTGTTGCTGGCGGCGTCCATGTGGATTATGCGCACGGCGGGAGACGATCCGCGCAGTCACTACGAAGCATTTTACTTCGCGGATCTCGTCGCCAGGCCGACACTAATCGCCTCCATGCATCGGTCCTTCGATCATCGACGATCCGTCGTCTGCGCCGCGAACGTCGTCACGGAGAGGCTTGGGAAGGCGAAAGCCACGCTCGGAGTGTACCCCGACTACATCCCTGATTGGGCACCATGCGGCATCGGATTTGCACACGACGCGACCATCAAGGGGCCGGAGGATGCGAAGAGGCTGGATTGGTTGGGTTCGGGCCCCGCCGATGATGACATCAAAGGCGAAGGAAAAGACGACGCATAAGGCGGGCTGGTATGCGGGGGGAGAGCAGGGAGACAGCGCTTCTAAGAACGAAGGCGCATGTACGGGTGGCGAGACGTGACGGGCTGTCGTGTGATTGGAGTATCGTGCGTGGCGCACCTGATTAGCGTGTCGGCCGCCGGGATTCGCAAGAGTCCTCCTTCATCATTGTGCACAGGTTTACTGTGGCGCCCGTGGCATAAGCACAGGTTGATTCAGTTCGATTGTGTCATTGTAGTTTCGGTGGTTAGCGTGTTGGCCAGAGGGATTCGGCTGAATCTTCGATGGTGGCGTAGGTGTTTAGTGTGCGGCCAGTAGCGCCAACACGGGATGAAAGGTTTGCACCTTTGTTTTTCGTTTTTTTTTTTGTGTTTTTATTTTCTTTTTATTTCTGCGTTCAGCGCACGTGGTTGTTTTATCAATGCATGGTGCTCCTCGTTGTCTCGGACAATTTGAAGCGCATGGCGGTTAATTGTTTTTTTTTTTTTTGCGATGCGTGTGACAACTCTCACGACTCTGTTATATGTCGGTGTCGTGAATGTCGTCATGTCTTTTGTGGGACACAAATGTCGTGCGTGTCATCCAGTGTCCTTGTCTGCGTTGCACTTGTTCTTATTCTTCGTATTGGCTTCACGACATGCAATAGACATGCGTTGATCACGGATTGAGAGAATGCATGACGGGATCGTACAGAAGCATGTTGCACATGTCATCCCACCACAACAGCACACGAAACCGGTCATGGAAACTGAAATGAAGATATGCACAAAAAAACGATAAAGATAAACAACATTTCCACAGATGGATAGCAAAATATATATATATATATATATATTATTTAAAAAAAAACAAAAAACAACCATGTTTCCCATCGTGCGACGCCGTTCATCACAACCGATTTGAAGACAGGAAAAATATACAAAAGACAAAAAGTCCTAACGACGACGACACACACTGGCAAAAAAAAAGGTTCTTCCAATCTTTAAACTTCACACAACTGTGCGAACCGGGTAGCCATCAACAGCATGAAAACGATAATGTGAACTCGTCGACGACAATCATGCCACCGTTCGAACGACCAACCAACCACGCGCACAACGATCATGGACATGGACCACGTAATAACTCCAGCCGCCTACCGATCGAACCACCCCGTGTGCACCACCTCCCTACCACATGGTCCTACATCAAAGCTAGGTGGTCTCGCAGTGCATCCCTCAACAATTCACCTTCCACGTTTGTGCACCGTCCCCGCCCGCGTGCGCCGTTCCCCACAATGCCCAAGTCCACTCTATGCCGAACGCCATTCGCATCCACCTCCCACAGAAGGTTCTCGTCGAAGTCGATCCCCGCGTCCAGGAGGATATTGTGGAGAGTGCAGACAGCCACGAATTGCTGTGGCAAGGTCTCTAGGTTCGTCTTATGGGTGCGCAAGAACAGACGCCACATGCACTTGAGTCGGCCGAATGCCCTCTCCACACACCCCCGTGCCACCTTTTGCCGCGTGTCGAAGCGCTCCTCGTCAGCACCTTGGTCGATTCCTCCGTACGGCGACACCATCCACGGACAGGCAACTGAATAACCATTGTCGCCCAGGAGGTAGCCTCGCGTGACGACACCGTGCGGCAGATTCTCCGGAGTTGCGTCGAACAGCTTGCCACTTTCTGCATGCCTAAACAACTAAGAATTGTGCAGGACACGGACGTCGTGCACACTTCCAGGGTATCCCACGTGGACGTCGAGAATCCGCAAATCCAAATCCACAACCACCTGCGCCTGCACGGAGAACTTTTGTTTGCGGTCGTAGTAGTTCTCGGAAGGTGTGCCGACGGGCTTGTCAATCTAGATGTGTGTACGGTCGATAGCGCCGAAGTAGTTTGGGAAACCCTTCTCACGGAAAGTGCGCAGAATCTGCGCACGTCTCCTGCCCATTGGCCACTTTATCGCGTCGGGGTACGCCTGCAGCAGCGCCGAAGTGACGTCGCGAACGGCCTGCAGTCCAGTTGCCCTGCCGATGCCAAATGCTGACGCGCCGCTCTCATACGTCTCTCCGGACGCCCACCTGTATAATGTGAAAGCAATCAGCTGCTCCACTGGCAATGGCATTCGATAGTGCGTCACCTTCTTTTCCACGTACGTGGCGCACGCGGCTACGATGTGGTTGAACATGGCCGTCGACATGCGCAGCTTCTACCGGAAGTACTCGTCCGTCGCGTCGTCCCGAAGCCGGAGGTCCTCCCATGTCCCGCTAGTCCGTCGTTTAATCCACCATCGCGGAGTCTGCCGCGGGAAAACGCCAGACGTCAGCGCGACACACAACTAGACGACTGCCTCACACGTCGCCGCGCAATCTGGCGCCTCTGCAACGCTCTGAAACAACGCTCTTCATTGCTGGAGCCGCATCAGCATGACGCGAGATGAGGACTCCTTGTCGCCCATCGTGTTCACGACGACGGCAGTCACCGCCATCGCCACGGCGTTGATCTCTTCTTCGCGTAGACCCTTTGAGCAGCCATGACTGTCCATCTTTGCCAATCCTCGCACGGTTTGCCAAGTCACGCCTTCGACAGCCGCCTTAGACACGCCCGCCGCGGAACCCTGCCGTCGTAGACAAACAACGCCGGAGTCCAAGATCCCAATGTTGCTGTACAATGGCACAGGAGACGAACACGCGTCCGCTGCTCCACGCTTCTAAAGGACGGTACGCACGCCGGAGGCGAACGTGCGGCTCACACGATCATGCGCACGCTCCTCGCAAGTTGCGTACACTCGAAAGATGGATTCCGCGCGACGAACGGCAGGGAGGCGTCGTCTTTTTCAGGTCACACGCGTCGACAGGGAGGCGCCGTCTTTTTCACGGCGCACGCATCCGCGAGAATTCGAATTCAAAATTTTGAAGTTCTGGGGAACCGCGCTTTTCACCGATCCGTCGACTCCCGCCCCCCCCTGAAAACGGGGAGGGCAGTTGTCAGAGTTGGGAGGAGTAGGGAAATAACTCGTGAAAATTCACGAGTTCAAATCCCGACAGGCTCAGAACGGGGTGCAAAAGTACCCTGACTTTGATGAATTTTAGAAACATATTCGATAAATAAAAAAATCGAAAAAAAATCATGCACATGGCCTAGGTGCCTGAATACCTACAGAAAAACAATCAAGGCCAACAAAATTGTTTTACGTCACCAAAAAATAGTGGCGCAAACCGAAGAATACCACTTTTCAAAAAAAAACTCAGATCCCGTTTTTCGTTTTCTTTTTCTTTTATTTTTCTTCTTTTCTTTTCTTTTCTTTTTCTTCTTACCCCCCTTGACAACGGGGAGGCAGCTGGCAGGTCGGGAGGAGCAGCTCCTCCTCTCCCCATCCTCTCATTTCTCTCTCTCTCTCTCTCCACTCAATTCCTCCAACCCCTCTTGCTTTCCACGTGTGAACTGTGGGCCGCGAGATCTTGAGATCTCGCGGCCACAGTCATTTGTTCAAAACGAAGTGGGATCCTTTGTGCTCCCACACAGTCTGCAAAGACTTTTTTTTTTTTTTTTTTTTTTTTTTTTT